TTATATTGCACACCAGCCACCCTCTCCCTTCAGGGTAGGTGTAGCACTCACTAAATCTCCTTGCCTCCTTTGCACAGGATGAGGATATTTACAAAATAAGAACCCTGGCTTCTTGCTGAGTCAGTTAAACTTCTAAATTTCTCAAACTGATGCAATGTATCATCCATAACAGACATCCTACAAAGTCATGCCCCCTCCATAACCTCCCTCTTCCAACCAGGCCTCACCTGTAGCATCACATTTAGCTGTAGCACCGTTATTCAATCAGGCTTCAAAAGTCCTGCCTATGAGCCCATAAGGCCTTGGAAGGACATCCATAAATGATAATCCCCTACTTGGGAGTTTCCTTGTTTCCTCCACCCCCACCACCACCTCAATCTTGTCTCTACAGAGCTCCCACAATGCTTGTTTTTAAATGTAAACCAAATTACTATTTCCCTAATTTTAAAAATGTGGAGATATACTGATTAAAAAGCTGAATAAATTCACAAGAAAAGACTATTTAAAACTCTAGGAAAATACAAAAGCTATTCAAAATAGATCATGATCCTGCTAGGGATTTAGTTCAGTGGCATAAGCACCTGCCTGGCAAGCACAAGGTCATGAGTTTGATCCCCAGTACCAAAAAAAAAAAAAAAAGAGAGAGAGAGAGAGAGAGAGAGAGAGATCATGATCCTAATATGAAACGAATTAAAATATAACACTGGGATAGATACTACTCCCAGTTCGCGTATTTAAAAATACCTTAACTAGCAGCAATGAGGTGGAAAACTGACTCTCAGACCAAAAAATGGTCTACCTTCACATGTTACCACTTAAATGTCTGTTATCCCAGTCTACAAGCTCTTCACACCTTCTTGTCAAGACTGCTGGGACACATAAATCTTCTTGGTTCACTCAGTTTCATTTACCTAAACAAGCAATGGAGCTGTTACTGCCTTGAATTTTGTGTTTCCCTGGACTGGTTCCAAAAAGTGAACCCTGGTCTCTCTGCTCTGAAAACTCCAAAACTCACCCTTTCCTCTCACGAGCCAGAGTGAATCTCCTTGTTTTAGGAAAATGGCCCATTTATCTGAAATCATGTGCACACCCACAAATAATATTCTCTTTTTCTTTCCTCAAACTCTGTAATTTTTTAAAAGATAGTAGGATTGGAAGAAACTAAAGCTGACAAGAGGGCAGGAAACTCATGTTCTCTCAAACGTCTCACCTTAGGTAAAATACCAAATTGGCCACTAACTTGAGTGAGAAAAGGGGAAATTTAAGAACAAGAAACAATGGAAAAGTATAGATCAGTATTGCTATGTGTGTTTAGAGGTCCTATGTTTAGAGGTCCTTCCAAAGCCTGATGCAGTCATAGGTGGGGCTTTTTCAGAGGTGGCTGGATCTAAAGTGGATGATACCAGAATTGTGCAATGCCAGGACTAAGGGTGTGAGTACTACCTGCCCCGAGTAGCCTAGATAAATTGTAAGGCATAGAAAAACCTGTGGTTATCCCTCATTTGTTGCCTTGGTATCTTCTGCCTGCCATGAACTGCTTTTCATCTGTGATGCCTGTTTGCCATGCCACACTACCTTGGAGCCAGCCAATTATGGACTGAAAGCTCTACAAGTTATAAGCCAGATGAACTTTTTCTCCCTTAACATTGAGCCTCGAGTATTTTGTCTCAGCAATGAGAAAAGTAAAAAGGACAGAATTTTGTGCCAGAGAAGTAAGGTCCTTGTTGAGGCTATCTCTGACCATGTAGTTCAGGCACCTTTGAGACTGGCTTGTTGGAAGAGTTTGGAAAGGTCTGGCAATGCTGGTTGAAAAAGCAGCCCTGGAAAGCTTTAGGCTGTACTTGATAGGAGATACTGTTCTGAGCTCAGAAAATAAGAATACTAATAGAAAATCTGCCAGGAAAGACCAGGCTCAGGAAGTTTCTGCTGGAAAGGGCTTCTTTGGCTGTTGAACTCCAAATAATGCGTTTTATGTCTTAGCAGAGAGTTTTTGCTCATGTCCAGAGACGTTCCCTGAGCCTGAGATTAAGGGTGGCAGGCTAATTACTCTTGAAGAAAAAATTTCAAGGCAATCTAATGTTGAGGTAGTGCCATGGCTATAGTTGGGGAGTTTAGCCAGATGTATGTTGAGATTCAAGAGTAAAGAGCCCAATAAAATGATTTAAAATATTTTCAGTTTGGTCAAAAAGGAAGCTTCAGTAAAGTTTCAGCCTACAAATATGGAACAGAGGAGAAATTGGTTGCTGAAAAGGCTATTAAGAAAAAGTCAAGTATTTTAAAAGAAGACAAAAGAAAAGATGACCTGAAGGCAATACAAGAACTAGCACAACTCCAGCCTTTGCAATCTCAGAGTCTTGCTTTGAGAAGAGAGCACCAAAGCACCATGTTCCAGAATGGCTGTGGCTTAGAGAAATTGTTCCTCAGGATTTGGTTCATAGGCTCTCCCTTCTACAGCCAAGAGAGGAGAAAGCCTGGCAGGGAGCAGATCTTGGCATCATTCATCTGGTGCTGTTTTTAAGTGCATTCAGAATGCAAGAGTTGTGGGGTCAGGGAGGCTTCCAACCAGATTTCAGAAGAAAGCCTGGGAGGTCAGGCTATATGCTCCTGATGGGGCAGTGTGTGAAGCTGTGAATGCAAAGCCAAAGGTTCAGTGGAGATCCCAGAAGTTTGAAGAAGCCAGGAATGTAAATCGTCTGATGAATACTGCAAGAAGGAAGCTGAGCCAGCCCAAGAGAGAAGCAATGGGAACTACAACCATTAGAAGTGCCATACAGATGGAGCCACCCCAAGCCCTTTGGAGTTAACAACCTACTACAGATTTCCAGGGATGCTGGAAGTAGAACCATGGGATTTAATGCTTGCTCTGCTGGATTTTGGTCTTGCTTTGTTCTCATTCTTTGTTATCTCCATTCATAACTTTTGGAATAGAAATGAATATCTTGTGCCATTGAATGTTGGAAGGGTTTAACTTTCTTTTCATTTGTACAGAAATTTGAAGCTAAGAGTTTACCTTAAATCTCAGAGGAGACTTTGGACTTGGACTTTTCAGCAATGCTGAAACTGTTGGGACTCTGAAAACTCTTGGAGACAGACTAAATTTTTTTTTTTATGAAAGGATATGCATAAACCTTTGGAGGGCAAGAGGAGCCATATTATGGTTTGTATTTAGATTTCCCAAAAATACCTCATGCAGTCATAGGTGTGGCATTTTCAGAGGTTGTTTAATCTGAAGTGTATGATGCTGGAATCAATTCATAGTACAATGCTAGGATCAAGGGTACTAGGATTAAGGGTGTGAGTGCTACCCACCCTAAATAGCCTGGATAAGATATAAGAGATGCAAACAGCTATAGTCATCTCTTTGCTGTTTTGTGCCTGCCATGAACTGTTTCTCCTCTTCAATGCCTGTTTGCCACATCACCCTGCTTTGGAGCCAAACAATTATGGGCTGAAACTTCTACAAAATGTAAGCCAAATATACCTTTCCTCCTTTAATTTTAGGTGTTGAACATTTTGTCCCAGAAACAAGAAAGGTAACTAAGACGAATATTTAGAAATACTACCTAACTGTAGTTTTCCCCTATTAAAATTTTTTATGTCTTCAGCAAAGAAAATTTATTTTTGAACTTTGTTCAACCCTCTCAATAGCACACAGATGTGAATTTTTAATTTCTCTGGGCAGTAAGTTCCGACTGACTCCCCAAACTCTCCTTCTATCCTGTCATTAATCTGAGCACGTTGTGGTAAACTCCCCCCTTGTCAGTAACTGTTTATGGATAAGCAAGCATAGGCCAGTGGGGTCTGTGGGGTTTCAGGAAGAGCCTTCGTGAAGACTCTGGAGAAGCACTTTCTTCCAGCCTGATAAGGCAGTTCTTTTTTCTCCTGTGCATTAACAGTGAGGAAGCATGGTGTTCCCATTGCCACTGACATTCATACTGCAGTAATAAAGCATGGAGCCAGAGAGAATGACTTCAACCAAGTAATGACTCAGGCCACACTTGCCTTTATTTTAACTAACCCACTCTGAGCCATTTTAAGTTGACCTTTGTCTTAAGAAATGTCTTAAGAAATTTTTGATGTGCTATAAGGTTTAGGTTTTTTGCATGTAGATATCCAGTTATTTCAGTATATTTATTAAGAGTACATCCTTTCTCCATTTAATTGCTTTTGCATTTTTGCCAGCAATCAATTGAGTATTATGTGGGTAACTATTTTGGGACTTTATATTGGTACTTCTGTGATTTGTCTATCTTGATATCAATGCCATTTTGTCATGATTGGTGTAACATTGTGATAAGTTATGAGATTGGGGAGGGTTGGAGCTCTAATTTTGTTCCTTTATCAAAGTTGCTTAGACTACTCTGAGTCTTTTCTGTTTTTATAGAAATGTAAGAATCAAAATGTTAATCTATATGAAAAATGATGGTGCAGTTTCATAAGGGATTGTTTTCTGATCTTTATTATTTTCTTCTGTTCATTTTTGGTTTTATTTTGTCTTTTATTTTGAATTTCTCAAGGAAAGATATGAGGATATTTCATCACTTTCTTTTTTTCTAACAAATATACATGGTGTGGGGATTTAACTCAGTGGCATAAGTGCCTGCCTTACAAGCATGTAGTCATGAGTTTGATCACCTGTACTAAAAACAAAAAAATAAATAAATAAATAAAGGATGGAGCTAAAGGTGTGAAGTGGTAGAGCAAAGGCATAGAACCTACATCCTTGATGCCTTTGTTCAGTCACTGGTCCTACCTAATTCTTTGTGGTTAAGCCAATGTGAGTTAGTTTTTCTGTTACTTGTTGCTCAGTGAATTCTACCCAGCTAAGAACTTGGCATTAGGGATAGAAGGGCTTCAAGTAACAGGCTGAATTGTGTTGCTTGGTGGCCCCATGATGCATGCCTATATGCTAATCCTTGTTTCATTTTTATATATAATTAAGTCAATTTTTTTTACTATTTTCAAGTTCAGCCAGATGTTGAAGACATAAGTTTAAAGCATTTCAGTTTTTAAAATATCATGTTTAATTTTATTACAAGATTATTCATCAAGATCAAAAGTCTTTTCAAAAGTTTAAGCTGATTTCCTTTTTTTTTAAATTTAGTTCCATGACTTATTTGACAATGTAACTAATTTCAAAGCTTGATTCTCTCTTATTAAAAAAAAACCCAAAAACCGAAAAACCTGATCTGAGAATCCGAATACATAGGTTCTTTGTCTTGGCCACTAAGCTGGAGGCAAGCTTTTTGGGGATCTGGTGGAAGTTACTTCTCCTATAACCCTATCAGTGGCCCCCAAGTATGCACCAGAATCATCAGGTCCTTATTACAAATACCTATTTTTGAGTTCTATCCAAGGTCTAATGGATCACATTTTCTAACAGTGGAGCCCAAGAACATATATTTTTATTTAAGTGAAGAACATGATATATTTGAACACTACTGCATGATGGCCTCCTCAGCATGCCTCTCACTTTGTTTGTTGGTTTCTGTTCCTTCTGCCACTGCCCTATCTGTGCTGAAAGATACTGGGTTATGACCCAAAAATCCCTCAAAATAAACCATAAAAAATCAAGACAATAGTTTCATCATCTTCTTATCTCCACTACCTTTATAGTGCTTGGTAGGTAACAGGCACTCAATAAATATTTGGAGAATTAAGTAATAATGATTAAATAAATGAATGTCATTTCATGTTGATTCAAACTACATATAGATAGAGAAATGTAGAAATAAAAACTATTTTAAACTATAGTTGAATATGCTCTTGAGCTCCTGGCTGCTATACTTCACTAGCAGATTGTATGGATGAGGCTAGTGAGTATCCAGGGACCCAAGGGAGGAGACTGAGATTCTTATCCCGAGTATTTCCCGGAGGTAGTAACAGGTTGAGACTCAGATATCCTCCTCCTTGACTCTTCCAGGCCCATAAAAATTTGTATTCTGCCTGTCCTTGCGGCAGTGTCATAGGTCTTCAAATCTGCAAAGACCACTTCAGGTCTGTAGGACTCCCAGCAGGGGAGAGGAGGCATTGATTACCAATGTGTCAGTTGAGCTCAGTGTCCTTTGTAGCCAGTACTTCCATGAAAGGATGTCTGATACCACCACAATCCTTTCTCCCTTCCCATCCTGTGAATTCCACCATCCGCCCCTGGAACTTCCCCAGCTCAGACACTGTCTGCTGGCTTTGGAAGGTATCGACTCAGGATGAAATCTGTCACAGGGGTGGGCAACATTGCCAAGGGAAGGTAGAGGAGTTTGGCATCCAGGCCAGGGTTGTAGCGGATACGAGGACTCCGGGAAACAATGGCGTGCTCCATACTATTGATGACATCAGTAATTCTGGGCTCTCCCAGCTGCATCATGTTATTCAACTTGTAAGTATCTGTTGGGAAGGAGCAATGAAACATTCTGTTATTCCTTATTTTAAAAAATGGTTTCTTCCAAATTCCATTCAAGTTAATATTTCATAACACCATCCAAGCGTCCCTCACATAAACTCCCACTTGAGGCCATCATAAATCATCGTATCTCTCCTCCCAAATTCTACAGCTATGCACAGAATTCCTATCATTGCATTTGACTAACAATGAGAAGTGATATGCCCAGTTCTCCTGACCATGTCACTTACTTGTTATATGACTTTGAGTTCAAACCTTTATTATCTGTAATATAGGGGTAATGATATCTACCCTGGAGACCAAAAAAACATTAAAACTAGAGTAGAAGGCCAAGTATGATGGCACACAACTGTAGTCTGAGCACTTGGGAAGCTGAGGCAAGAAAACTCCTGTGAGTTTGAAGATGGCTTGAGCTACCCAGTGAGTTCAAGGGAAGCCTGAACTACATAGAGAAAACCTCTCAAAAAAAGAGTAGATGATGAAAGAAAACAAGACAAAACAGTATATCTGTATGCATAGAAAAATGGGAAGGAAGTAAAACTATTTTCTGGCTGGTGGGATTCCTAGATGTTAGAGGCCTTTTATTTTGTTTGAGTTTCGTTGTTGTTGTTCTCTTCCTCTTCCTTCCTCTTCTTCTTCTACTTCTTCTTTTTCTTTTCTTTGTTCTTCTTTTCTTCTTCTTGTTCTTCTTATTCTTATTCCTTCTCCTTCTCCTTCTCCTTCTCCTCCTCTTTCTCCTCCTCCCCCCTTTTTCTGTTTCTCACATTTTTCTCCAAAAGCATTCAGGAAAAACAAAATTTATTTTGGAAAAAAGTTATCCTGCACTCAACTTAGTCTAAGTCCATTGTGGATGCAGACGACTGATGTACTGACGCCTCTTGAAGGGTTCTAACACAGGGAGTTCTTCTGTCCTTGAGGTGTCCACAGGTATGAGGAGAGGAAATGATACCAAACCAGGACCCTCCCTGAGACACTGGGAAGAGAGCTCAGAGTTTAATGAGAGCTCCAAGCTCTCTAAAAACAAAAAAGAAAAACAAAGAAACTGGAGTCTGAGAGTCAGACTTCCCTTTATGGGATCCGTCTATGAGATTAAAATTGGAGAACAAAAGCTGCCATAACTTTGGGATGATCCAGATAGGCAGGATCGAGATTCTTCTGAGTGACTGGTAAAGACAGGCCAGGGTCACTCAAGTGCCCTTTACCCCAGACAGGAGAGCTAACTTAACTCCTTTGCAGTTTCCTGGAGAGGGCACTGCTGCAGTGAAAAGCCAACCTAAATTTTGATGTCCCCTGTCCCTGAAAGCTACCCATGCTCCTCCTTCTGTAGGAACCATCTGCCATCATTCCTTTTTGGTGAACTCCAATTTATCCTTCAAAACTCATTAAGGCATTCATTATCATCTCTATGAAGCTTTGTGACTGCAAAATTAAGTGTCTCTACTGTTTACTGTTGCTTTGTTTTGGACACTTACCCCTTATTGCACAATTCTTGCATGATACTGTATTTGCTTTCAGATCTACCCTTTCTCTTGCCCCTGTATCCTACTAGCTAACTCTTGGAAAATTTAGTGTAACTACTTAGTGAAACCTTGACCTAAAAGTAGTTGCCATTATCTGAAAATGTTTCTCTGAAATCATGGTGTACACTATAAAAGAACCAGCCTTTGTAAAATCCTTACTGTTCTTCAGCATAACAATACATTGTTTTTGACAAGTGATTTCCAGAGGAAACTGGCTATTGTACAGTTTTGTTCATAGACTGCATTAGAGACTTTACAATCTCTGCTGCCTGCATTCAGTACTTACTTAGGCAATGGCTTTGTGAAATTTTTAGACACTGATTGAATCTGCATTTCATTTTATCTTCATAAAAATTTGGACCTCTCTTTGCTAAGGAAGTTTTAGGGGAGTGGTGGCAAACCTATGCCATGTGTGCCATAGTGAGCTATTTGTATCATTGAACTCTCTAAAATGTTCGCCATCACTGTTTTAGAGGTCACAGAGGATTCAGAATCCCCCACCACCGCTGCACTTCACTGCCATCTTTTTCCCAGCAGTCTCAGATTTCCCTTTGGGGATACATTCTTCTCCTATTCAGAATGTTCAGTGTGGGCAGAGCACATGATCCAGCCTCAGCCAATCAGACCTTCACATTCCCATGGGCATAGAGATTGGTTCAGGGTTGGACAGTTTTTTAAATTTCTTCTGATCCAGCAAACACAGGCCCTCCAGGTCAGAATAAATTCTAGGATTTTCAGAGGAGACTGTCTCCTTTTCAGTAGATTTCACTCTGGTGAGAAGTGAAGAGAGGCACTATGGGAGAGATAAGGCCACCACAGGGAGTTTGTGAGACTAGGGTCAATACTACACAAGCAAAGTCAGAAACAGGGTGACACCAGCTCCTAATAGTGTATTTTGGTGGGTTGGATCAGGCTGAGCTTAAAGTTAATTTTGCTCAACATTTTAGTCACATGAGTCAAATTCATTCTCTGCTTAAATAATTTGTGTTAGATTCTCTGTTACTAGTAACTAAAAAAATTCTATCTGATATAAACCTGTGGGATGTTTTTTCTCTCACAGAATTCCAATATGTTCAGAACCAAAAGATTACTTTCTCCTGAATCTCCTGAACAATCCTCTGAATATCTTTTCCGTGAGTCTTCCCTAAATCATTGAGTGACTACACGTCCATCCAACAGGTTCCTCAACAGAAACCTAGCACCCATCCTCAACAGTTTCCTCTCCCTCACCACTATGGTAGCCTGTTCAACACTGTGGCATCCAGCTTCTTTCCAACTCCTCTACCTCCTGTCTAGTCAAGCCACCATCACATCTACCCTGGAAGCCTGCACAACCAAAATGAACTTTCCCAATCACGGATCAACTCACATCCTTGATTCTCAGAATGCTCTGATGCTTGGATTGTGCCCCACCCACTCACTGCTTCCCTACTGGTTTCTTTAAAAGTTTCCTGAAAAGTCTTGGCTCAGAGCCCTGCTGCAAAAATCTCCCTGGTCAACCTCCTTTTCCACTTTCCAGTAATGTCTAACTCTTACTCTTCCTCAAAGTAAACCCACATAAGGCTCCCCTATGCCATAATCTGAATCAGGCCCCAAATTCCCATTTGCTGTTCTTCTTTCATAACTTTGTTTCTCTTCTCTTAACCACATTAATCACTATATATGTTTTTGCTAACATTTGTCTTCCCTATGGAGTCTTGAACTACAGGCAACACTTCTGTTCACACCAACTCCTCACCCCACACGAAGCCTGTGTGGTAAAAGCTATATTATATGGAAAAAAATAGATTTTTGTGTCCTGGCTTATAATTCTGTCAATATATGATGTTAAGACAATATGTCACTAAAACTCCTGTCAGAAAGTTTCAGCCCTACCACATTTGACCAAGTAATTGTATTTAGTATGTTGCTGTAGTTTGGATCTGTAACATCCCCACAAAGGTCATGTGTCCAAGTTTGTTCCATAACCTGGCATGCCTGAAAGGTAGTGAAACTTTAGGAGGTAGGGCTTGAGGAGAGATCTTTAGCCCAGGTCGGGGTGTGCCCTTGCAGGGGGCTGCAGGACCCAGCTCCTTTCCTCTTTGTCTCTTTTGCTTCTGAGCCACAAGGTAAGCAGTTCTGCTCTGCCACACAATCCTACCATGATGTGCCGCCATCACCAAAGCAACCAATTGTGGACTGAAACCTCTAAACCTGTGAGCCAAAAACAACTTTTCTCTTTATAAATTGATTATCTTGCAGCATTTATTATAGCAATATAAAGCTGATTAACACATCCATTTAGCAATTCTGGGTATATTTTTAAAATTCATCACTTTATATTTTTAATATAAGAATTTATAGTTTGTAGGTATTGTATCAGCATAATGGATAATAGGAGGCTGTACTCAGTCTAAGAAATGATAATAACAACAATCAAAAACTTAAATAGTTCTTACTAGGGACCAAATGCTACTCTATACCTAGTGAGTTTACATTCATTTAACTCACTGAAGATGAGAAAATGAAGAACTTGCACAAGGCCAGCATGCAAGCTGAAATCTGCACCTGCTGGTTCTAAGAGCCTCACCAACACAGAAAATTGCCTCTCTGGAATGCTCACAGAAGCCACATAAAAGAGGAAAAGAAAAATTTGGGTTAACGACACATGGGAGCATCCAGCTGAGGCCCAGAGGGCACAGGAGCAGAACCAATGGCAGCTGCTTCACTTTGGACCAAGGAAACATCCTAATCAGTACAATGCAGTCCCTTCTTTCAACTTCTTTCAAAACCAGCCCCTGTCAACAAGGGCCAGTTGTGTCAGGGCCAGTTTCTGTTGACAGAAGTTACTCACACAGAGGTGTACACAGAAGTTATTCTAGGCTAAAGGGCTTCCTTCCTTCTGGCACTGGGAGCTATGAAATACAGAGACCTACAATTCTTGTGTCTCCTCTGCTTTTAAAACCAACTTAGCTTTGAGATTAGATGCTCTGAGTGAACATGGGGCTCCCTGATTACACAGGGCTTTCCATCTCCTGCCAGGAAATGCTCCAGTGTCTGACACAATCCCTCTCTCACTGCCTTTTCAGGTCAGGTTGCCTCAGGTTCCTCTGTGAGCAGGCTCCATCCATCCCCAAACTGGGAAGTTTTGGCAAGATAGTCAACATCTAAGATGTCCCTGCTTTACCCTCCAAAGCTCCTAAGGTTCACAGGGACACTTAGCTTAGAGAAAGGAAAGGAGACACCATGGAACCCATTCTTGTAAAGATCCAGGTACTTATTTTCCTTTTTGTTTAACAATTACTCAATGCAAAATAATTCAAACATATTAATTCTCATAGCAACCCTGTTAGTCAGCATTGTTATTAGGTCCATTTTACAGGGGAAAAAACTAAGACTACTAAAACATCCAAAGTCTCTTAGCTGATACATGTAAAAGTCTGAACTTGGTTCACTTCTCTGTACTAATCTCAGCGCTTTTTCACATGACTCACCTGCATGCTGATATTTGGGAGAAGGTACAAGGAATAACAACATCTCTACACCGGACATGGTTTTGCCTCTGTTCTTAAACCCCAGCCCTGCACTATCTGTGCAGCCTTAGACCCTGAGTCCCATTGTCTACATGCCAAAAATCAGAGACCTCAAAATCTACTTGCCCCCACCCAGGACCTGGCTTGCTCCCTGGAACTTACAGATGCGGAAGTACTCCTCTCCATAGCTCTCTCGGGTCTCCTGAGGCAGTCGCTCCCACAGCTTTTCCATTCTTTTAGGAATGGTCTCCTTTCCCAGAATCGATGTCTTATAGTTCCCAGGCTCAATGATGCTTACCTTCACTCCAAAGTAGTACAGCTCACGCCTGGGAAAATAAGTGTTTTCCTTTGGTCTAGGCCTCAAGGTGACAGTCATTAAGGAGAGTCACTTCTGGAGGGAACTGTCTCTCCAGGAACTTGGAGACACACAACCCCACCCTTGGCAGCTGGCCCAAGTATTGCATTTATGCAAACAAATTCTTCCCAAGGATCTCAGCCCTTTCCCAAACTCATCCAGTAATCTCTGGACAATTTGCACTTAGGCAATGCAGCAGGAAGTCAGTGGAAATTTAGGCCAAGATCTTCCTTCTATACTCAGCCCCACACCCCACACCTATACAATAGAAGGAGAGCTGGCATCTATACAAAGCAGTATCCTTCTCTGAGGATCTCCCAGGGGCACTTTTGCCCCCTGGCCTCTGTGTCTGTTTGGGGAACTCTTTCATATTCCTACAGGCCCACACATAGTGTTTCTTTCATTCTGGGTAGCCCCACTGGCTGTCTCCTATTTGTATCCCACCTTTTCACATCCCTTCTTTTCTTGGTAGCTAGGGAAGGTTTACTGAGATCCAGCCTTCCTCTTGCTGCTCTTTTAGCTTCCTTGCTCCAGAATGGCCCTGCACACATGCTAGGAACCCAGCCCTCTTTTTCTAAGTTAAAATCCCCTGGATTCCCACCTAGAACAGTTTGATCCCAGGGCCCAGTCACCTGATGCTGTCAGAGAAGGCTTCAACTCCAAACTTGGAGACACAGTAGCCACCACCAATGACAGCCACACGACCACCAGAGCTGGACACGTTGACCACCCTTCCCCGGGCTTTCTTGACCATAGGCAGCATGTGGAGGGTCACATCAATCATCCCTACCAGGTTCACATTGATCACCTTTACAAAGTCCTCTTTGGTCAGCCATTCATTGGGACCACTGGGCAGGCCCAAACCAGCATTGTTCACCAGGGCCCAGAGGCCTAGGGATGAAATGGAGGGAGAGAGAAATACACAACAATCAGCAGTGTCTCTGAGAAAATACCAGGGACACTTACCCACTGGCCCCAGTCACCAAGGATAGCTGAGCTGGTATGCAAGACACAAGACAGTATGGCTTGAGTGAGGCAGCTATAACAGCATGATACACCTTTTGCTGACTAGTGTTCCCTTCTATCAGCACACTTTTTCTGATTCAGTTAATTGGAGTTCTGTACCAGCTATAATCCAGGATACATGTAGCTATGACCATCTAAGTTAGTTCTGGGATAAGAGACATGCTTTTCATAACAATGAATTAATGTTTAATTCCTCACCAATCGTGCTTCCTCTTTTCTACTCACTAAAGTACAAGAAGCCAACTCCATTTAAACTGTTACCAAAGTCAGTTCATTTATTCATTTATCCATTCACACATTCACTCACTCACGCATACTCTTTGCCAATTACAGGGCAAATGAGATATAAAATGAACAAGAAAGGTCTTATCCTTTAAGGATCTCATAGATAAGATAAAATATTATTTACAAATAAATATATAAGACATTTAAATAAAATGCTTATGGGAAAATGTTAAAAGTCTTTCCTATTTGGTTGGATTGGTAGAAATGGGGATAAATCATACTAAGTATAATTTTCAGGGGCTCAAGAGCCTCAAATTCTAGGCCTGGTTCTACCTCCAGCTTTTGGCAAGCCCCTTCTTGCATTGGACCTCAAGTTCTGCATCAGACTGAACTACAGTAGTTGTCTCCAGCCTGTCCCTCAAGCCTGCTAGGGAAGGGACTTTCATTTGTTTTACATATTGAAAGTACAGTTTCACTGGAGGATGACCCTCAGTAGGCTGTTCTAGCTCTTTCGTGTACGGATTCCATGAATCCCACCTTTTGGCTCCTTTCCTTCCCTATTCCCATCTCACGCCCCATCTTGGCCAACAGAACTTCAAGATACCTTGCCTGGTACAGTCACCTCTCTCCTGTGGGCAGGTCTGGAAGCAAACTACAATTCTAGTCCACTTATCCCATGGCATCCTTGCCAGGCCATGCCCCATGTTTGCCTGCCTTCCTCCAATTAAAGAGACTTCAAAAAACCAACAGGCTGGCAGGACTTAGAACCTCCCCAGTTAAGAGGACTCTCTTGTCTTACAGAGGAGAAACTGAGGTTCCCGAGATCCAAAGATCATAAAACTCCAGTAGTCTCTGCCTGTGGGGATGGGGCATACCATCACTACCTCTAGTCATCCTGATAAAGGGCTCCAGCAGAGGATACACTACCTGTTGGGAAAGGAAGACAATGGTTCTAGTCTTTTTTCCCCCCTGCAAAGAATATCCAGGGAACAGTGATAACAAGCCTAACAGCTTTTGGGCCATGCCAACCTCATATCCAGAGATTCTCAGGGGCAACAAGAAAGCATGCAGTAACTGTCTACCCTCTCTCTACCTACAGTTTCTAGTGCTTCTTAGATCAAGGATGTTGCACAGTGGCATAGGGAGAATAGAAATGGTCCCTAAGAAATGTCACCATCTTAATTCTTAGAACCTGTCAATGTGCTGGACCACAGGAAAAAGGAAATTATGGTTTCAGGTGAAATTAACATTGATCCTCAGTAGATCTTAAAATACTGGAGATTACCCAGTATTCATGTGCACAATATAATTACAAGGCTTTTTCTAAGAAGAAGGCAGAAACTAGAGAACCAAAGAAATGGAGAGAGTATGAAGAAGACATAGCTCAACTTTACTGGTCTTGAACATGGAGAAAATGGACCATGCACCAAAAAATGCATAAGCTATATGCAGTCCCCATAAAGTAGAGAAGACAAGGAAATAGACTCTTTCCTGGGGACCCCAGAAAGAAAATAGCTCTGTGGAGACTGTCATATTAGCAAGAAAATAGCTCTGTGGAGACTGTCATATTAGCCTACTGAGACCCATTTTGGACTTCTCCCCCAAAAACTACAAGATAATAAAGGTGTGTTCTTTAAGCTGCTGTATTTACAGCAGCAAGAGCAAACTAATACAGTATATTAGATGAGTCATAAACTCTGTTGGATTAAGGTTGAATATAGGAAAGTAGTTGAAACAGCCTGGTAGAGAGAAAAGTTCAGCCTTGCTAAATTACTCATTAATTTATTCAATAAATACTTGTTAAGCCCTCTCCTAGATACCAGACACTATTGTAAGTAATAAGAACATAAAATAAGTGGAAGAGATAAAAACAAAAATGAAACCAATCTGTCAGGAAATTGTTCCAGCAGAGGGAATAGATAATAAATAAGTAAAATGCACTGTGTTCTAGATCAGGATACATGCTAAAGAGAAAAGTAAAACAAAGAGCTTGTGTCTGGTTCCTCTTGGGCCCCAGAGCTCATTATCCCCACCTAGGAAGAGGCCCAGCCTCATTTTTCTGGGGGAATGAGGAATTCCCCAGGCTACTGATGCTTCTACAAGCATGTAATTCTGTCCCTCTCGATCCTGTACCTACAACCTGCACGTTGCAATTTCTCTGGGCAAGTTCTTGCACACTGTTGGTTCACATCCTTCTTTCCCAGTGGGAACAGCCACTCTCAAGTAGTTCCCAGCTTCTAAGAGATCTGCCACTCCACTGTGTGACACAGTCTAGAACTGCAAATGCCCCATTCATGGAAACCAACGTCTTGTTCCCGATGCTGCCCTAGCTTTTCTGATAGGATGGATGATAGGACCACTGAAATCTCTGAGAAGGCACCTCCATCCTTCAAGATTTGAACATACAGAACATATCTTCCCTTCTTTATTTCTTATTGAGACTTGCGTGTTTAAGTTTCTGGGAAAGAAACTTCTTAGGAAACCAAAAATGAACAGGCCAAGGCCAGACCACACAGTGGCTTGCAATCCAGCTAAGCCAGCGCCTTCCAGTCCTGCTCCTTTCATCACCCCCCCACCCACCGTGTATCTGAACAGCAGGGACTATTAGATGCTGACACTAAGAAAACTGGAGAAGGTCAAAGAATGCAGTTTGCCCTACCTTGATCACCTACTTGGTCCCTTACCCACTGGGCCACAGCCTTGACATTCTCCGTCTTGGTGATGTCCAGTCGGATGGTCTGCAGCTGGTAGGAGGTATCCTGCTGAAGTTTCTGAGCCCCCTCCTCAGTAAGACAAGCAGCCAGCACCCGCATCCCCCGTTCAACCAGCTGTCGGGCCAGCATGTTCCCAAAGCCAGAGTCACACCCTGTGATGAAGACATACTTCTCCGAAAGGTTGGGAACTAGATTACAGTTCTTAAACCAGCGATACATAAAACCTAAGTCCATGATCGCTGCCATTGGGCAGTGGAGTCCAAGAAGAACAAGGCTCAGAAACAGCAGAAGATGGTCCTCAAAGCCAGGCTGACAGTCCACTAGAACACACAGGGAAGGAAAGCTTCCACCTCTTGCTACAGATTCATGATCCTTGAGTGAGCCACCCTGTAATTTTTATAGGTGGATACATTATACCAATTAACCTAGTTACAAGAAATTCAAGTCCAACTGGAAGATGTGTCACCTCTTCGTGCCCTATGGCTCTCTCTCTCTCTCTCTTTCTCTCTGTCTTGATGGGTATTAGGTCAAAAATGGGAAATACCCAGTGGCAGTGTGGGTGTCAAGAGTCAGATAACCCAGGTAGTATAGACTGTACAAGTCTGGTCAACAGATCACACCTTCCTTCCTTCTTTAGAGGAATGGCACAGACACGAGGTCACAAAATTCTCTAGAGGGAAGAAACAAAGACTGCATCTATATGCTCCACTATTTACAAACTCTGGACAGCCCCAGAATCAGATAAAGCAAGTATCATCTAAGAAGATCCCAGTAGGGCTTGGCCATCCTGTACCAACAGTAGTGGAAGCTTGTGGAAGGGGAGATTCCCCTCTGAAGGGAAAATCCAAAGCCTATAGTGATGAAAAGCGGAGCAGTAGATGGCGAGCCTAATGTACTTCACAACTTTCCCAAGGCACTGCACACAAACCATGTCCCACAAGGGCTGAGCAGACCAAGCAACAGTGTGTCCCAGTTCATGAGGGCATAGGTGCAATGCCTGAAAGTTCCATGAAGTTTTGTTTTGTCTTGTTTTGTTTTGCTTTGCTTTATTTTGTTTTAGACATAGTCTCACTATGTAGTACATTGTATCAAACTCATTGTAATACTCATGCCTTAGAATCCCAAGTGCCAAGATTACAGGCATACACCACCATGCCTGGCTTCTCAAAATTTCATGGAACAGTGAAGGTGAGCTTGGGTGAGACTCCCTTATATGGCAACACTGGACAGAAGGGAAATCCTCATAGGTGCCTGTTGCTGACCTCACACTACCATAATGCATCTCTGAGATTATTGTATAAGACACCCAATAATAACAAGGCCATCTTAGCCTACACCGTGGAAAGGCAGCTTAGCCAGGCACCAGTCCTGTGCTGCTGAGCAACTGAATGTCCCCACATGACTCAGGGAAAGGTCTGGGTCAGACCACGGAGTCAGGGTATCCTAGTTCAACCCCTTCGTGATCACTCATCCCAGCCTCAGTGTGATACCACTCATTGCTCCATCTTTCAGTAGGGTGGGCTTTGACCAAAGGGGAAACACAGAAGAGATAGAAAGCACAGGAAGTGATAAAGCACTGTGTATACCACCTTGTAACCCTACAAACTGGAAACCTGACTCAGTCTAGAAGGGAAACCAGAAATCAAAGAATATTCATTTACTTAGGGGCCAAATATTTAGCACTTGTACACTTCAGTTAGGAATCACCAATACTGTGCTTTTCACACAAGCTGAACAGTAAAGAAAGGAATGAAGTACCTTGCTGTTGCATACTGTGCACTCTGATGAGCCCCAGAACCCAGGCCTGCACTCAGGAAAGAGTTCTGCAAGGAAGAAGAGGAAAATGAAGGAGGCTGTCTTGGTTTCCTTTCCCACATTGCTGAGACAAAATACCCAACACCTAAAATGAAAGCAGGAAAGGTTTATTAAACTCACATTTGTGGAGCTTTCAGTACATAATCGGTTGAGGAACAATAGTTATTTGCAGTGACAGATACCAAAGACAGCAAAGGCAAAAGGGAGGAGCTTGAGAGAAGATTGTTTCTGTCCCTTATATTGTGTGTAGGCCACATATACTTAGGTGTACCACTCACACATATAAGATAATCATTGGACCATAAATCAACCACAAATACTAGAAGCTTGCCCACATGCCTGCATGATATTTCGGGGGACATCTAAACACAAACTATAACATTTCTCCCCTGGCCCCACAAAAACTCATGTACATCCCTTATGCAAAAGATATTTAGTCCATCTCCAACAGTTGCCAAAGTCCTAACAGTTTCAACCTTACTGAAAAGTCCAAGTCCCAAATCTCTTCTGAGATGTAAGGAAAACTCTTAGCTGTGACCCCTATACAAATGAAAAGTTACACACTTCCAGCATTAAATAGCACAAAATAAAGATTACCATTCATAAGGGTACAAATATGATGACACAAAGGATTGGGACAAAAGCAAGTAAAAAATCCAACAGAGCAAACATTAGGTCCTGCAGTTCCATGTCCAGCAGATCCAGCAATCAGGTTGTGAGCCCCAATAGGCTTGAGTGACTTCACTTCCACAGCACTTCTGGTGGCTATAGCTCCTACTGTGTCTCTCAGGCTGGGTTTACCCCTTCCTTGCAGTTTTTCTTAAATGATTCATGCTCCTAGATTTTCTAAACTTCTTGGTTCTCCATGGCATCTTTCACTTAACACATTGTCCTCTCAGGGGCACAATGTCTAGCCTTCCACCCCTTCTGAAATCAGGGTGGAAGCCTTTTAAACCTCAAATCTCTTGCACTCTGTATATACCTAAAACCAGTATCAAGCAGATGGTACTATGATCTGTTTCAACCTGGAGCAATAGCCAGGCTTTCTTCTCTCTTGGCTCTAGGGTCAAGTGCCTGAATTGCTGAGGACACTGAACCTGATTCTAAAGAATAAATTCTCTACATTGCTGTCATTCTGGTAAGGTCCAAAGATCTGTGGTGGAAGTTAGGAAGTCTGTGCCAATTCGATGAAGGATTGGTGCCAGCAGACTAAGGGTTCTGCACTAGAGCCAAGAAGCAATGTTCAAAATAAGGGCCGGAGCTCTCCCAAAAAAAGTACCACATCCACCGATAGTGATAATGAGGTCTCCAGCTCCTCCAACATTACGAATAGCTGAGTTCATATCAGGAGGCCAGTGTGACAAACTCTTCCAGAAGCAACAGCAACAGAGGAACGAAGAACACTACTTCTTGCACTCTGGTTCTCCTTTTTGTATTGTTGGTAATAATCCTCAGGTGGGCCATCCACACCTAACAAACACCACACTGATTCAGTTTAGCTGGTTGTTACAAATTGACCACTGGTTGTCAATCCATCACAGAGGCCTCCCTAGAGATCTGGAATGAGGACTCAGATTTTGCTACACGACACTCGTGCTTAAGGTCAATGTCATTCAGTCATAACCAAGATAACGATCTTGAGTCATTTAGGGTCCTGGATTCAGTCTAGGTGGACCCCACTCTCATAGAGTACAGCATGGTGAAAGGGACTTGTCCTCTCACAATACTATTGCCTTTTGGAAAGAATTTCTATGGTATTCCACCGTGTGAACACCTGCTCCACGAGACTACAAAGTGAGTCAGTGATTTTAATTTTCCTTCAGTGTGTTCAGTGTGTGAGTGTGCTTCCTGGGGAGGGTGTTGTCTGTGAGTGGGCATGTAAAGATGACTCTAAAATCCAGGAGGCTTTGCCTAGCGTTTCGCCCTCTGGTGGTGAGGAAGTGGGGCTGCAGCATGAGTGAGCTGGGAGCAGCTGCCCTGGGTGGACCACACTCTCACCTCAGCCCTGCTGCCCACTATTGCTGCTACCCCTGACCTTCTGAGCCCCATCAGTAGGGCACGAGACAGGCCCCTATGTGCACACGACCTGCAAAGAGGGGTCAGGTTATATCTTCTGTTCACAGGCAAAAGATCTGCCCTGGGAAGGCCCAAAGGTCAGGGTGGAAGAAAGTCTGCCGCAGTGGGAAGAAGGATCTGTTCCAGGAGCTGAGTGGTCTGCACTAGAGCCCGGAAGCCAGGCTCAAAGCACTTACAGACTGAGACACGCGCCTCCCCTCCCCATTCTAATCAAGTTAGACTCTTCAGACTGAACTGAATGAAGCTTGCCTACTTAATACACTCAAGTGTGGGGAGTCTGGAGTGTGGAGAGGCGGCAGTGAAAGTTTTTCATCTGGTGTGGGATAATTCCCAACCCAAACCAGAACAAAGCAAACCAACCCAAATGGCAGACTTTTTGCACCAAAGAGATAAGAAGGCGTATTTAATCTTTATGCCAGCAGACTGTTACTGAGCTCTTGCGATAATTCCTCAAATGAAACAGTGCTGAATTTAGGAAGAGTTTAGTTTATACAGAATTTAGAAAAGAGAGGTACACAGCAAGTGACAAAACATACATAATCAGATACAAAACTTGAGTCATATATTGACAGGTAAGCTAGTCTTGAAACAAAGAAATTGTTTATCATAACATAGAAATACTCAGGAAACGAGGGTAGGGGACCGTTACACAGTGAGCATAGTTAAGGGCATTACCATTATATAGGAAGATTCTGGGGAGGGGCCCTTGAATTAGCCCAGAGTGCCTGAAGGTATAGACAATTACCCTGACTCAGTGCTCATCAGACATGTGCAGCTGGCTGTAGACACTGTCAGGGTCAATTGAAATCAGGACAAACAGCAGAACACAAACTTAGTCAAAGACTTCTAATTGATCATAAAATATCTATAAGCAGTCTGTCTTATAAATATGTTCTTACGTTATAATTCTGTCCACAACATACTTTCACCCTATAATACAATTTTCTCTCCAGCCACTCTCCTTTTTTTTGGTTAGCAGTGAGAGTGTCCAGCCATGAATTGTCTGCAGTTCTGTAACTTGCTCTGCACATAAGCCATGACAGAATATTTCAACTTAACTTATTAGGTGAAATCAAATCCCCAAGACAGTATAGACAGACAGACAGACAGATAGATAGATAGATAGATAGATAGATAGATAGATATAGATATAGATATAGATATATAATAAATAGCTCATAAATAAATACATGTAGTACTCATTGTCCAAATAAACTTGAAAATAAGTGGATATAGATGAAGTTGAGTCCTATGAAACTAAACAAATTTATGTACAAAATGGACTAAAAACTTTTTCTTGGAAAAAACAAAACACAATTTTTCCCTTGCAACACACTTTCTGACCTGTTACATCACAGAGGCATAAAGTGAATATGCTGGTATGAATGTCATTCTCTGTGCTTGTGCTTATGTTTGTGATGAGAGTCAACAGCCACTCTATGCGTCGTCCATCACCACATCTTTTTCAAAGACACTATGAGAGAAAAGATTTCTTTTGCTGTACTAACTGTTACTGTGTTCTATTATGTTTAAAATATGTGTGATTCTTGCATCTGAGCAGAAGCTGTTGGCTTTACAAAATGTCAGGTATCTGTTTGCTAACCTATCATTCATAGCAAAGTCTCCTTTATAACCACTTACCACTATGCATGATTATCATGTTTAAAGCTGAATACTGAGTGTGCTAAAAGCAGTATTAAGCACAATATGTCACTCAGTGTAATGCTGCTTTTTAAAAAGTTTTTTCGAAACAATAAAGAAAATAACTGGGACCTCCTGGAAGAAACAAAAAAGATGGGAAGAGGAAGCAACAACAAAAAGTCCCCAGCTACCAACCCTGAGAACACTGACCCAGGACAGGTAAATACAAAGAGGAATGAGAACATCAAACAAGCAATACCAGACACGGCACCAGTGGACATAAAGAGATATCTTCAGGACCTCATAGATGAGTTCAAAAGTGAAATATTTAGCCAAATAAAGCAAGATATAAGAAGATTAATAAAAGAGATGCTAAGTACCCCCAAGAAGACACAGATGGAAAAAGGAAGGAACTCAAACATAGGAGAGAACCCATTTGATGAAGAATATAAAGGAAATATGGAATACGTGAAGCAGATTCAAAGAGATCACCAGGAAATTAAAAACTCTATCAAAAGATGGCAAATCTGTTTGAAAGAAACTAAGGATAGATTATCCAAACTGGAGGAGAGTTTTGCAATGTGGGATTATGAAAGGAAAAACTTTTTTAAAATAACAAGGAAACAAGCAGTAACAATACAAAGGTTGGAAGACGACAAGAGGATCTACTACTTGAAAATAAAGAATGTGAATTAAGAAGCAGGGGTACAAACAAAGGAATTACAAAAGCTATTCACAGAAATAATTAAGAAAAACTTCCCAAACATAGGAAAAGGAAATGATATTCTGATGTATGAGGCATACAGAACTCCAGCCACCTACAACCAAAACAGAGATACACCCAGGCATATAATAATCAAGATTCCAGAAATTCAATATAAGAACAGAATATTAAAAGCTGTTAGAGGCAATAAACAGATCACCTATAAAGGAAGGCCCATTAGAATAATGGCAGACTTCTTGACACAAACCATCAAGTCAAGAAGAGCCTGGAGTGAAATATTCCAAGGCCTAAAAGAAAACAACCTCCAACCCAGATTGATATACCCTGTAAACTGTCTCTAGAAATTAATGGAGAAACAAGATGCTTCCAAGACAAAGAGGAACTGGGGAAATTTGCAACACCAATCCAACTCTACAGAGAATACTGCAGGGCATTCTAGAGAGAGAAAAAAGTACTAGGGTTCCAGGAACAGTGGCAGAGAAGCCTCAATGAATGGAACAGAAAATGGAATGAAGAAGATAAGCAGACAACTGATGGCAAAAAAAATAGCATAACAGAAATGAGGCAGAGAAGGTTGGTTATTATAATCTCTAATATAGATGGCCTTGATACACTAAATTAAAAAAAAAGAACCACACGTGGAGTAGATCAGGAGGCAGGGTCAACTAAGATGCTATTTATAGGAAATATAATTAACATGAAAAAGAGTACATGGACTGAAAATCAAATATGAGAAAACAATGCTCTGTGTGACAGAGAACCAGAGAGTAACAGGGGCAACTAGACCAGTATTTGTGGATAGGTTGGAAAGACAGGCTTTAATAGGTAAAGGAGTACAATTAGATATCAAGTCCAGGAGAGAGAAAGTTGGGAACCACTTAGGTAAATAGCAGGGTTGCCCCCACAACTTAATACCAAGTGTCTTGGTGAGACCCAAAAATGCACAGTGTACCTGGGGACATGAAAGAGAAGGGATAGCCTTAACAAGGATGGCAGAAGACATTGTTAATAGTGTATCAGCATTTAAAACCCACATTACTTGCACCACTCTGCTTAGATAGATTTTATTCTTTTTTGATAGATTTTATTCTGGCCCAGTTTGTTTACTTGCATAAGATTTGATGGCATAGACAGCTATCCCAAAAACATCAGGATATAGGCCAGTAATCATCTTTAATTTCCTATTATCTTAATCTGGAGCCCTGTATGACTTATACTGTTTTATCATGACTGATCTTAGTTAAATCTGGTTTGTATGATTGCTGTTTGATATCAACAGGTTTTATTCAAAACTGATATGATTGATAGTATCAAGTCTGAGAGTATAGGCAACTACACTGAAGATGACAAGACTCTATAATACACATTCTGGTTTGATAACTGCCTGCTTTTGAAGTTTTATACTATATCCAAAGTTGTGTGTACTGATATATTCAATTATGCTATGTCTGATGATACAGCCAATTCTATTGAAGATAACAAGAGACAACACAGGAACTAGGGTAGAACTCCTTGTAAAATGGTCTTATTCTTTTTCATTTCATGTATTTATAGGAATGTGTTTTGTTTTGTCTTGCTTTATTTTGTTTCTCCCTCTAATATAGAAATGATAAAAACACACATGTTAACACTTATGCATGTGCAGAATCTATAAACAATGTATGAGAACTGATGTTATGACACATGATGAAATTAACAGATACTTTGAAGAAAAAGAGACACTAAAGTACCCAGTGCTGATCCTGGAGGGTCATAATGTAAAACCCAGCAATAGTATTATTCTTTGTTCAGAGTGATATTAGAGTGCTTGGGTTTGTTCAATCTCAACATAATTGAAGATATGGATAACTGCGTGTATGTTTAAGTGTATAGGATTAATAACCATATTTCTAAGTTTTTGTTGGATAGTTGAACAGAACTGGTTGCAGTCTGGCTGTTTTAATCCCCACTTTATATGCTCCACTTTAGTATCTTAAATAACTATTTGTAAGAGAACAATCTGTAATCATCAGCTAGTGATTTCTTACTGTTTATTTTTTTCTTTGAAAGTTGTATTATTTCTACCCATTTTCTGTTTTGTTTAGTCTTTCTTTAAATAAAATTTAAAAAATAAGACACTACAGTACATAGTGCTGATCCCAGAGTGTCACGATGTGAAATCCAGCAATACTATTATTCTTTGTTCAGAATGACTTTAGCCTGCTTTAGTTTGTTTAATCCCAACATAAATGAAGATATATATAACCGCATGTATGTTTAAGTATATAGGATTGACAACAATATTAGTAAGTTTTTATTGGATAGTTGAACAGAACTGTTTGCAGTCTCACTGTTTGAATTCCAACTTTATGTGTTCCACTTTTGTATCTTGAACAACTATTTGTAAAAGGACAGTATGTAAACATTCACTAGTAATTTCTTACTGTTTATCTCTGAATGTATGTATTATTTCTACCAATTTTCTGTTTTGTTTAGTCTTTCTTTAAATAAAATTTTTTAAAAAGTTTTTTCAAAAGTCAGTCTATGTACTAAATTGCTTCTAAGTAATTTTTGATTTTCTAAAGTGCTCTAAGGTGATCTGGAAGATGTATGTATCTTTTGCTGCATTGAACAGCAGTGAACAGCTACCATTGATTGCACAGTCCTAGTGTTAAGGGGCTCTGGGGGCTCTTTTCCCATTCCTCAAAACAGAGCAGAAATGATAGGTTTTTGTTGTGTGAAATAGTGTTGGTGGCAGAGAAACTTAAATATTTAGTGTTGGTTGAAAGGCCTAACAGATTATAAGACAAAAGAAAAAACCTGAAAAAGAAAAGCTTCCTTTAATGCTTCTTAAGTAGCATTTATGTGTCTAACACCAGTGTGCATTTTGAAACTTTCAGGGTGAGAGTTAATGGGAAGAAGAAAAGGAAATTGAAAGGGGTAAAGAAAAGCTTTAATTTGCAAAGAAAAAAAGTTTGAGTAAAGGAAATTAATTTAATTAAACATACTTTATATGATTGGGTATCTTTGGACTACATGAAATTAGTTGTTAAACTGTACTTGAGTTGTTCAGGTGAGAATGTTGATAGGCCGCATGGTGCATTGTGAATCACTTGCCAATTGTATTTTATGGTGTATATTTTATGCTTTAAAACACTGTACTGAACATACAAGGTATACTACCTTCTCCTTATTTGTATGTTTACCACATACCTTGATATTTGCAATGTTTTCTACTGAAAAAGTCACTTATATTTCTATAGCACATTGCATTTTATGCAATCCTTTTGCCTAAATAAACAGAAATTAAAATGAAAAAATTTCAGGAAGCCTCACACTAAATAGGAAGCTGTTACTCTGCTCTCTGTATTACTGGCAAGAGCCATTCAGAGTCTGGGCTCTCCTCAAGGGTTATTCTTGGCTGACCTTTCTTCAACGTCCCTAGGCCTGACCCAAGACTCCATATAAGCTTTTCAATGCATGGCTCTCAAAGCATCACTTAGAACCACATTAATATGTACTGTTCATTTTAACACACAATATTGGGCCAAACAATTGCTTTACAAGGCAAAGCAAGTTGAAAGCCAGCCCGGGAAACTTGGCAAGATCTTATCTCAGAAATAAAATACAAAAGACCAGGTATTTCTTCTGTGGTACAAATTTTGCCTAGCATGCAGGAGGCCCTGGGTTCAATCAGCAATAAAAAAAAATGTCCAACCTTAATGTTTCTAAGTATCAGTCAAATATGAAGTGAAGGCTCTGTAATAGGGGCCATAACTTCCTGGTCAATTTTCAGATACATGAGGTTCCCTAAGGTTTCATAACTTAAGGCTTTATAAAGGAAAAGAAGCTAACTTACCATAGAGGTACCTCACAACTGCAGTTTGCCTCAAAACTAGAGTTTGTATTTAGTCCAGGAATCTTTGTGGCTTTCTGCATATACATACTCAGTTCATCCCACACTTGAGAACATTGTCACAACACTGAAACAGCTCTCACGAAGTCAAGGATAATTTATCTTGATACCTTGCACATAGAGTTGCTCAACAAAGGCTGGGCAGGAAAGGAAAGATTCCTGTCAAGTGCACTTGACTGTGACAGTAGAACAGATCAAAATTACAATGACTTTAGAGGGAGAGTTGGTCGCTTAGGGCAACAGGGATGGTGGAACTTGTTGGAGCTGTTGAAGACAAATACATATGCAGGGCTGTGGCATGGCCCAGGAGTGGTTGAACTGAGAAGGAGGAAACACCTCAGGGGGCAAGATAGGCCACAGTTGAGGACACCTGGAGATTTTTCTCCTACGATAGTTTCCCTTAATTGGCATCATCTGTTACTTGGAGGGGTCCTTGAGTGCCTGCCAAGATCCTGCTCAGGTTCCTGTTTTCCATTCAACCCTTTCCTTGTTTTGAATAAATACAGGCCACCCAGAGCACTGTCAGTCTCCCTATTTGAGTTATGAACACTGCAGAGGATTCTGGTCCTCCTGGAACCCTAAAAATCACACTGCTTCTCTCATTCATTTGGGCCTTCACCATACACTGGTTTAAGAGATTGGGGATCTAGGCAAGATTCCAACAGGCATTAAGCAAACAAAGGAGTGTAGGACCTGCCTAGCCTCACTGTTTCCTTGCACATTAAACTGTCTACTTCTATGAATTGGATTACTAAGATGTTTTGGAAGGGAAATAACTGTTTTTCATTTTAAAGCACAAAAGCCTGAGAAAAGACAGAGATAATTCAACTTGTACTGTCTACTCATTCCACAAGTCATCCTTCTATTTCCTCAGATTTCATAAACATGCCTGTCTCTTAACACCACACCTCACTTATCTTCAGGCAATGTGTGAGATTATGGGGCATGGGTGGTCTCTTCAAGCACCAAAATCTTCCTCTTCTAAAACAAAAGAAATCAAACAAAAGACATGATTTAAAGATGAACAAATAAATTGGTTTGTATGTCCTCTGCAAGGATCCCTGTAAAAGAACCTTACTCCCAAGCAATATCTAAGGCCCAAAGGAATAGACTGGTACTTCTTACCCCCATCCCAACACTCCATAACCCAGGGCTTTTCTATGCTGTGGGGAGGTATATAGTACCCACAACTGATGCATAACATCAGGAGGAAGGCAAGGGGAAAATGAGATGTTGGCTGTGCGTTCTTCCACATGATCTCAGTCACTCCAGATGTATAGATATCTCATGATTGGCCATGTTGCTCAGAGATGTAAGCAGATGGGCATCACTGAGTGACACGGACTCCTGATTCCTCAGCAGAAGTCCTTAACTCATTCCTTCTCATTTCACCAATCTTGAGTAATACCTGAGAAAAATCCTTTGCACCAAGAAGGTGGGTTCGGTACCCTGTTGTGTGAGAGCTAATTTCCTCCACCACTGCCCTTCACTGACAAGTCCCAACCCACACACACTACCCATCTTCCCAAAACACATACCCAACAGTTGGCTTTACAGGGCTTTCTCTGGCTTTGGAGAGCCCAAGTAGGCAAAGAAATCCAACAGGAATGTGGGCAGGTAGCTCATGGGGAGGTAAAGGAACTTGGCATCCCAACCAGGTGAGTATCGGGTGCGAGGGTGACATGCGGTCAGTGCATGTTCCATACAATCTGTGACTGAAGACAGCTCTGATTTCCACACTTTCTCCAATAATTGTGGATAACGGAGGTCTATAAAAAATGAGAAATGATCCAGATATGTTTCTACCTCCCACCATTCCTACTCTAGCACCAAATAGCGAAAAAGTATTCCCAAAAAATTCAGGATCTTCACCCTCAGAAACTTTGCTTAGTCAAATGTATGTTAATTTCCCAGGAATTACCACAACTAATTTATAGCAAACTATAGTTCCACACTAAGTCCCCTCCACCTCTCTTCCTGGAATATCTGAGCTCCATAAATTGAAGATCTTTTGAGCACTGGAAATTCTCCAAGCCTGTGGAGTAAGCTGCTTCTCATCCCAAAGAGCCATGAGTGCACACATGTCTCTTCTCTTCCTTAATTTTGTCCTCATAATAATAAGGGTTTAGATGAAACACTGTCCCAAGTTCCAATAAGCCAGAATCCTTCCTTAGGTGACCAGAACCCATGTTGGCACCAAGGAACTGGGACTAAATATCCTCACTTAATGCAAAAACAGAGCCTGGGGCAATGTCATGCTATTGAAGACATCAACACTGCACTAAGGATTCCTGGCAAGGGTGTGTTTCTCTCCTTATCATCCAAAGGTCACTTACAGGATTCCAGGAACTTCTCTCCATAGATCTCCTTGACCTCTGAGCTGGTATGGTCCCATACCTTCTTCAAACTTGGCAACAGTGTTTCAGTACTGCTCACATTCGTCTTGAAGTAACCAGGCTCGATTATAGCCACCTTCACCCCGAAATAGGAGAGCTCTCTCCTGAAAGGCACAAGGCAGCGGGCAAGGACATCAGCAGTCTCGGTAGGCAAAGCACAGTTACACACCAGTAACAACACTTTCACGTAAGACTGGGATAGGAGGAATTTGAAAGTTTAGGATTTGTAAAATGCAGCATCAGGTCCTCAAAATGAATGTGAGATTCTCTGTAAGTGAATCTTCTTCTAAGCGCTTTGTTTATACCATATCATACAGGGCTGAGGCCTCCCTGTTCATGAAAAGCTATCTACTGTTAGACATTGAGCACACACCCTTAAACTTCCACTTCTGAGGCTGAGGTGGGAGCACAAAGATTAGAGGATAGTCTGGGCTATAGAGTAGACCCTGTACCAAAAACAAAATCAAACAGACCTACTCCCATTCCCTTCATTTGCAGTGGATCTCCAGGCTTGGGCCATGTCACCTCCTCTACAATCAAGTCAATGCTTTCCTTCTCCTGCCCCAGGAAGCTCCCCAGGTGCTCTGTCATCCAGGGAATAAGGCTTAACCTGAATTTAGCCCTAATACCTATAGTCTGAGACATCACTGCCCTGCGGCCAGCAGGGTCCCTGTATTCTGACTGGCCTAGGGAATTCCTGTAATTCACTCCTTTCCAGGGGGCATCCTTGTCAAAAGGATGCAGTCAAAACTTGTCCAGAGCCACAACCACAGGCCCTACACAAGCCTACATGTGACCACCTGCCCAGCACACCTACACAAACCTTGCAGCTACCATGGTCACAAAGGCTGACTTGGGCACAGGCACTCTAAGAAATGGCACTGATGATTCGATGTCTCTTCTCCCTCTCACACATGTGCCAGAGTTCTTAACCAAAGAATACAACTTTAATACTGTGCTAGAACACATTTGTCACGTACTCAAACAAAAGCCTAATAAGCATCTGTTGAGTTGGCTAACAACCTCAAATCAGCTGAGTCATACAGGTCATCTATCTGGATCTGGGCCAAAATCATCCCTGGTCCAATTCCACCTCAGAGACTTTCCATCTGTGAACCCTCCTCCGGGAGAGGAGAAGTTTAACTTATCTCAGGGCATTTCTCTACACAAGACATGGCATGGTGACTCCCAATAAATGACCACTTAAAATCAGAGAGAGCAAGTGAGAGAGTCTCAGAGCCAGAAGGAAGGACCTCCAAGATAATTCACTCAAGCTAGGACTCACTAAATCCCTGAAATAGGCTGCTCAAAAACAATGGGAACAAGAACACCAGCGACCCCACCCCTGTCCAGTACCTGAGACTGTCTGAGAAGGACTCCACACCATGCTTGGAGATGCAGTAGCCACCACCATAGAGTGACACCCAGCCCATGACACTGGAGACATTGACCACGCGACCTTGCGCCTTCCTCACTAAAAGCATCAGGCTCAGAGTCACCTCAATCACCCCCACCAGGTTCACGTTGAGTATGTTCATGAAGTCTTGCTTGCTCAGCCACTCATTGGGAGCAGAGGGGAAGGAGATGCCAGCATTATTCACCAGGCCCCAGAGTCCTAGGAACAGTGGGAAGATGAGAGAGACACACTGTGGTCACAGTTATGGTTCACAGTCACCTTTACAGCTATGGAAAAAAGATTTTTTCCTGGGAAGGAAGGACAGAGCACAACACAGCCCAGGTTCTACACATAGTGCAGCTGCTGGATGACAGGCAGACTTGATGCTTTCTTCTGTCTTTCCTTCTTCATGGCCCAGCTCACTGCCAAGGAAGTACCAGAAAATCACCTCATACTTCATCATTATGACAATAGGAGTTGACATACTAGTGTGCATTTATAACCATGCAAACTACCTTCGGTCTCTTACAAGTTAAAACGATCTTTATAGAAATTTTATTTGTTCAGATATTCTGGGCATCATACACACAGTGCTTCCCTACTCTCTATCAAGGGAAGCAAAAATAGAAGAAAGGAATGAATAGAAAGATAAGGAACACAAGAAAAGAAAAAAAGAAAAAAAGACAAGACCAACATGTGCATAGAATTTTGCTGTGAAACAAAGAACCGGTGACCTCCTTGGAAAACTTGGGAGTGAATGGTGTGTTTAGCCTCAGGAAACTTACTTAGAAACAGGGGCACTGATTCTGAGCTACCTTCCAGAGAGTGTGCTTGCTAACTCAAAAGCAGAGCAAAACCAGGGGCCAGGATATCACCCTCACACCCACTAGGTACCTCAGCACTCAAGCATAGAGAATGGTGTCCTCTTCCCACGCACCCAGGTCATCCTAGCTCAGCTGTTTTTTACCCAGGTCACTGCTCTTGGGGTAGCCGCTCTGGAGAGCCCAGACCCCATCACTAGGACCAAAGAGCATTTTTCCTCTGAACGCGCAACATGAGTGGGTAATCACTTGATTTATGGCAAGAGCTTTTGCCGAAAGATGTGGAAGAGCTGACCCAAGAGCTTCCTCAGCTCAGAAATATACTCTGCTCTTGTAGGAAAACATATTCTATCACTAATGTACTTTATCTCTGGAAACTCAGCCGTGTAGGTGTCTGTACAGATGGATGTTAGTGAAAGTTTACCACAGGACCATTTATGACCATTAAATGTCTAAACAGTTATGACATCCAACCATTCTGTGTGTTTGAGGAAGCAGGACTGTCTAAGATGATAGAGTAGTCTAAATCACTCATTGTATGAAAACTTCATCAGGCAGTAAAACTGTTCCTCATTTGTTAACTGAATGAGTATCAGCTGTGCACAAAATATAATACCATATATAGTAAGTTTGATAAATAATAATAACCCCATGTAAGTCAATCTTTTAATGGTCTTAAATCCTGGTTGATGAGGAATGATCGTTATGATTTTGTGTTTTTCACAATAGTCGTACTTGACATTAATTCTTCAAGGAAATAAAGCAGTGGTCATTTCATCCCCTGTAATAATGCTATAAAACAGTACAGTGAAAGAGAAACTTAGCATGATTCCCAGGCCAGGAATATAGCTCAGTAGCAAAGTGAGAAGACTACATATGACCTATGAACAAAATATAATCTGACAAAATATCTCTCTGTGAATAATGAGATAATTGGCACATTTTCTTAGGACTTTAGACATTCCTGTGTTTTTTGATGATACTCAAACCTAACATTTACTCTTGCATGAAATAAGCCAATGCTCCTTTCTTTCTCAGTAACCACACTAACAAAATAGTGTAGTGAAGTAGAAAGTAAAGTGACCCCAGTGTTTGGCTTTCCTAAACCAGTTCCGAATCTCGTAGATGTTCTGAAAATGGGAAGATCTTGGCTCTGTGGGTGGAGGATGTTGGGGACCCAGTAAGAACAAGTTGCAGTGCTGAGACATGAGCTCAGCTCTAGTGTTTAGCCAGCCATCACACAACCCAGGGAGCCAGGCCACACCCCTCCTCCAGCAAGATATCCCATCTCTGTCCCAGCACTCACGTTCAGCAATTAAGAACTTCTGCGTAAAAAGACAGGCAGAGGACAGAGGAAATCTGGACGGAGAGGCCAGTTTCCCAGCAAGGCCCCTCTCACCAACAATGGTGGGCTCCAAGGGCAGCAGGACACAGAAGGGGCTCAAGCTAGCACTGTGTGGAAGTAAGGAACTTAGCCTTATTTAAAAGTACCACCTCTTCAAGAGGCCTTCAGACTCTCACCAAGTAACACACAGAAGATGTTCCCTTTACACACAATGAAGAAACCAATGGACACAGACAGAAATCTGGATGGTACCTCTGTTCCCAACATGCTCCTTCACCCATTCAGTGGCTGTAGCAATGCTCTCTGTCCGGGTGACATCCAGGATCACTGTCTCCAGCCGTTCTGACCCCCGCTTCCTCAGCTGCTCAGCTCCTTCTTCTGTCAGACACGCAGCCAGCACCCTCAAGCCTCTCATGTCCAGCTGTCTGGCCAGCAGGTTCCCGAAGCCTGAGTCACAGCCCGTGATGAAGACATACTTGTCATGGAGGTGGCTCACCACCTGCCTCTCCCGATACCAGCGCACGAGGTAGTACAAACCCATGAGGGCTGCCAGGTACAGCAACATGACTTCACAGAAACCAGGAACAAGCACAGTGTGCAAGACAAGAGTCTGACCTATTTTAAACCAGAAGACAAAGAGGAAGTAAGAATGCAGGCCAGGCAAGGCATGTAGCCTCTAGGATCTTGGCATGGAGCCTGCATCTTATTCCCTCTTTACTGCCCACATCTCCACAGTTTGTACTGTTTTTGTTTTATTACCATATAGATATCTTTGAATATCCACATGCCACCTCCCAGAAAAGCAGGATCCTAGTCTATTAGAACCTCTTCCCACAAAGAAATCCACACACATATCATAACACCTATACCTTTCTGATCAGGTTCTGGAGACAGTTTGTTTCTGTTAATTTGCATGCCAGCACCTTGCATCATGGCCTTCTAAACACAGGTAGTAATTGTTCACAACCTACACTTGGACACAAGGCACATTTACAGTGAATTTCATCTCTGAACCCGGGTTTTCTCATCAGGCTGGTGAAAACAGTTCACTCCTAAAGAAAATCAGTCACCATCATTCTCTCCAGTACTACAAGTATCGCCAAAGAAGTGTACTTGAAGAGATTCTCTCTTGGCAGGGAGGGCACCAAGGGAAATTAGAAGTCTGAGGCAAAGAAGGAGGAGGTAAGGAAGAGAAATGAAACAGGAGACTTTCAGCAATGAAATTCCCAAAGCTGAAGGGAGGCTGTAATAGAATGATTTTCACAAGGCAAGTACAACAGTAACAACTTTCTCCTACTGAAAGTGGCCTTTCCCCAGATGAAGAGATGCAGATGGAAATGTCTGCCCAAAAAATAATCCTAACTGTATACTTCCTAAGCAAATTATAAGTAGATGAAACTATGAGAGTGGTCTGTGGAAATCAGGGCTTCACAATGTCCCTGATTCTTTGATGCCAGCTTAAGTTAAACCAACTCCATTCCAACTAACATGAAGCAAATTTTGTTCTAACCATACATATGTCACTGTTTCTGACTCAAATTGGAGGGGTCAAACCAGTCTTTTGCCCCACGAGACCACTCAGCAGCTTGATGATAAATCCACCTACACCTACACTCTGTGCAACCCCAGATCTACCCGCCTCTGCTTAGTCATATGGTATCTCAGGGCCTGTTCTCCCACACTAGCACTGAGCTGTTGCAGCTGCCTGTAGCATGCCCTCCACCCTCCACTCTGGGGGCTCACCAGCCTGCACACACATCCAGAATCCAGTCTCCTCAAATATCAAGGGACTAAAAGCATAAATGACTGCATTGCACAAGCACCACACAGATACCACAGTTCTCTGAGTGCTGGCCCAGCCCTGAGTGTTTCAGCCACAATCCCTGTAAGGGGATGTATCACTTCTCTGCCTTTTGGCTAAGATCAGGTGTTGAGAAATGCTGACTGACTGCCTACACCTACCAATCTCTGAAAGGTAAAAATGGAATAGGAGGAGGCCGATTTGAAAGGAGAATTGTCCTGCACAAAGCTCACCTTATCTGCTATACATCCAAGAAGAGAGGCAGCAGCACTGTACATTTCAGTTTCCACCAATGGCTACACATACCTTAATGTAGGGAGCTGCCTGCAGGCTTCCAGAGATCGTCCCTCCTGGTGATGCCTCTCCCTGCTCTTGCTCTTGCTCTTGCTGTTGCTCTGGATCCTGTATTTACTCCTCCTCAACTCCTGCCCCTCCTGTGGCCCTGTTTCTGCTCAGTTCCTGGTCCTGCTCCTGGTCCTGCTAACTGGTCCTTCTCCTGCTCCTCATGCTCATGTTCTTATTTATGCTCAAGGCTGGATGCCTGAATCCTCCTTCATAGGCTTATTAAAGCAATGAGGAGGCAGAGTCTAGAACATTCACAACAGATGATGGAACCAACAACTCCATCCTGGCACCACTCATGCTAAATATGCCTCAGGGTTTCTTGGTCTGGAACAAACTTCAGTTCATTTTCTTAGTGATGGGAGGTTTCTTCAGTAGAAAATTACCAAAGGCATCCATGCACAGTGATATTTCTATTACTTAAAAAGGTTGATGTGCTATCATGCATTTTGACATGGATTCTTGCCAGTTTTGCAGTAATTCCGGAACATTTTGTGTGTTATTGCTTTATATTTTGTTTTCTTTACTCACTACGTAGTCCCTGCGCAATTTTCAAAACCAGACTCTCAGGTGTTGAAATTGCAGGCGTGTATCCCCAAGCCTGGCTCCTGAGAGTTCCATGGAAGAATCAGCGAAGAGGAACCTGGGTGAGACCCCACATCTGGAGGCACAAGGCAGAAGAGAAGTCCTCAGAGTTCCCTGCTGCTGACATTCTCAACCCCCCACCTGCATACCCTCCTCTGAGGCTCCTGCAAAAGGCATCTAACAGTGACGTGCACATTCCTGTCTACACGCTGGAAAGGCTAATGAGCGAGACACCGGTCCTCTACTGCTAAGCACCTGCATGTCCCCAAATGGCTCAGGCCAGTGTCTGAGTCCTCTCAGGCCTGGGTCCTCTCTGGCTGGAGTCAGAGGAATCAGCTTAACCACATGGAGATCACTCCTTCCAGCGTCAGAGTGACAACCCCCATATCTCCATCTCCAGAGGGATGAGGCTTCTACAGAAGGGGAGAGGCAGAAGAGCTAGGAGAGAAAGTGAGAATGCATGTACACACCAGTAGCCAGCCCTACAAATGGAGACCCTACTCAGTCTAGGTAGGTAGTCAGAAATAAAGGGACAAACATGTATAATACTGGCCAAATATCTAAGAGTTGTTGACCCTGGATTTGGACTCACTGACCCTGGGATTCTCACAATGACAGAAGAGCAAAGTAAGGAATATAGTGCCTTGCTGTGGCATCATGTGCACTCTGATGAGCCAGACTCCAGCCAGAGAGGACCCAGGCCTACACTCAGGGAATAGGACTGAAAGGAAGAAGAGGAAATGGAGAGAAGCCTCTCCTGAGATCTGGGATGAGGGCTAGGCAGGGCTGAGGAGAGCCAATTCTTGTGAAAACCTGCTCCACTAGGCTATGGAGTGAGTCAGTGACCTTTACTTTTAGTTCAGCGTGTTTTCTGTGTGAGTGTGATTCCTGTGGAGAGGGGTGTTACCTGTATGTGTGCATGTCTCAAGGCTTATAGAGGTCATGAAGGTGACAATGTTGAGCTCTTCTTCTGCTTGTGAGGGGATAATATGAATTGATTTTAATGAGAGATTGAACTCAGCACCTTCTGCTTCTATGAATTGACTTTGAATGAGCTGGCACAAACCATTCAGAGATTGAGAGCCCTTCCAGGATTTTTCTTCGTTTTCTGGGTTGTCCATGTTTCTTCAACATTCACAAGCCTGACCTAATACTTAGGCAACCTTTCAAATGGACGGCCCCCAAAATAAAACCTAAGGCTGGGGACATAGCTCAGCGGCGTAAGTGCTTTCCTTGCAAACAGGAGTCCTTGTTCGGTACCTGGTACCGAAAAAAAAAAATCAAGAACCACCTAGAACCCCACGAATATCTACTACACATTTCAGCCAATCATGTTAATATAAACTTGCAGTCACATCTACTCAGGAGATTGAGGCAAGTTCAAAGCCAGTCTGGGTCACTCAACAAGACCCTGTCTCAAAAATAAAATACAGAGGACCTAGTCAGTAGCTCAGTGGTAGAACTCCTGCCTACATACAGCAGTGGTTGGGGTCAATCCCCAGTATCAAAAAGTAGTGCAACTTCCATGTTTTGCGTAGCACATTAAAAGAAAATGCCTGTCTCTGCAACAGGGGCCATGCTGGTCATTTTTCAAATATAGAATATTCTCTAAAAGGCTTCATACTCTCAAGCACTAAATTGATAGAAGAAAGGAATGATACTGGGTCTCTGGCTCTCAACACCAATATTCCTTAGTCCAGAAATCCCTGTGAATGCCTACATACATACACTCAATTCAGTTCAACATACATATATGCACTTGAGATCATGACAACACTGCAACATACACATGCAGGTCTCAGGGAGCCAGGAGTAATTCAAGTTGTGACCTCAAATACAGGAGATGATCAACAATGGCTGAACAGATAATGAAAGACTCATGTCCAGAAGTGACTCTGCATCAATGCCACTAGAGGAGTGTGGGAGTAGAAGAAATGCAGAGCATATGAAGAATGGCACCGGTCCTAATTGCAGTGACTTTAGAGGGAGGCTTTTTGAGGGAAATAGACGTCAGTTACCCAGCAAAGAAAATGGAATGTGATCTGTCCTATCTGACCATCTCCTTGCTTGCCCATTCTTTTCTACTCATGCAAGATCACTTATTTGCAATGTTTGAAAAGGAAACAATTGTCCCTCATTCTGTGTCAGGAAGACCTGAGAGTGGGCAGAATCTATCACCTCTCAAGTGACTCCTCTAGTCCTTGTCCTCCAAACAACCACCTCTTTCATCCAGTGGTCAGGACTCTACTTCTCCTGCAAAAATATTTCAAATCACTTGGCATGGCAATTTTTTGAAGTACCCAAGGTTCTGTTTCATTCTAAAACAAAACTAATGAAAGTAAACCATGAGTTAAAGACAAATTATCATTGCTGACACAAATTATACAACACTCACGAGATGGTGGAGGAAAGGTTTATTTAGCTCACAGTTTGTTAAGATTCAGTCCACAATCAGCTGGTTCTAAGATATGGTGGCATGGAAGATGTACAATGTAGAGAAAAAACAGCTCATGGCTAAATGAATTGGGAATCAGTGGGTGATGCTGAGTCCCTGTTCCTCAACAGAAGTCCTTGACTCTTTTCCTTTCATGTCACCAATCTTGAGTATACCTGAGAAAAATCCTTTGGACCTAGAAGGTGGGATAGGTGCCCTAGTGTGTGAAAGCTGCTTGCCTCTACCCACTGCTCTTTACCTGACATGTCCCAGCCCACACACACTACTCAACTTCCCCAACAATACACCCAAAAGTTGGCTTTACAGGGCTTTTGCTGGCTTTGGGGAACTCCAGTACATAAAGGCATCCACCAGGAATGAGGGCATGTAGCTCAAAGGGAGGTAAAAGAGCTTGGCATCCCAGCCAGCTGAGTATCGGGTGCGAGGGTGACAGGCAGTCAGCGCATGTTCCATGCAGTCCGTCACCAAGAACAGATCTGGTGTGCTCCTTTGTGCCGTTAATTTAAATGATTTCCGGTCTGTACAGAGAGAAAAATGATCCAGGTTTATTGCCACCTCCCACCTTCCTGCTTTAGAATCAATTTAGGGAGATAGTTTTCCCTAACAATTCATGCTCCCCACATCCAGAACCTATCCAAATCAAACTTACCCTAATTCCCCAGGAACTGGCACAACTCATTCACAACAAACTGCGGTTCCACACTAAGTGACCTTTACCTTTCTTCCTGCAATATCTGGGCTGCATAAATTAAAGGTCGTTTGAACACTGGAAATTATCCAAGCATTGGAAATAAGCAGCCACTTGGGCCAGAGGGCCATGAATGTACACCTGTCTCCTGTCTTCCTTAAATTTATCTTCATGGTACTGAGGGGTTCAGATGCAAGGGAATCTCAAGTTTGAAAAAGCCAGAAGCCTTCTTTAGGTGACCAGAACCCATTAGACACCAAAGGAATGCTATTCAATATCAACATTTTGTGCAGAAACAGAGTCTGGGGCAGAATTCTCGCTACTGAAGACATTAAATGTATACTAAAGAAGAAAAAAAATGTATACTAAAGAAGAATCCATGACCAAGTTTGCTTCTCTCTCTGTTGTCCACAGCTCACTTACAGGTATCCAGAAACTTCTCGCCATAGATCTCCTTGACCTCTGTGCTGAGCTGGTTCCACAACTTCTGTAAACTTAGTATGAATCTTTCATTGCTGATCGTATTGGTCTTGAAGGAACCGGGCTCAATAATTGCCACCTTCACCCCAAAATAGGAGAGCTCTCTTCTGCAAGGCACAAGGCAAGGACTTTACTAGTCTTGGAAGGCAAAGCACAAAAAAATTACGTAGCACAACAACACATTAATGTGAGATTGGAATAGGAGGAATTTGGAAGTTTAGGATATATAATGTACAGGAGCTTGGGTTAAAAAGATATTGATGACATTGTCTCTGTGTATTTGTAAACATTTTTTCAAGCATTGTGCATATACCAGCCCATTGCTTTCCCAGAGGCCATGAGGCAACAACACAAAGACCACACCAGTCTAGGGCCACAGACCCTTCACTAGCTTACCTGTTCCCATCTGCCCAGCACACCTACATGAACCTTCCAGTTGCCGTGGTCACAAGGCTGACTTGGGGAAAACCACTCTAAGATATAGCACCGATGATTCTGTGTCACTTCTCCCTCTCACACATATGCCAGAGTTCTAAGCTCAAGAACATGACTTACTATTGTGCAAGAAGACATTTATCATGCATGCAAACAAAATCCCAACAAGCATCTGCTGAGGTGGGTAACAAACCTCATGCCAGCTGAATCATACAGGTCATCTGTCTGCCTCTGGGCCCAAATCATCCCTGTTCCAATTCCACTTCAGACGCTTTCCATCTGTGAACCCTCCTCCAGGCGAGGAGGAATTTAACTTATCTCAGGCCTCTTCAATACACAAGACATGGAATTGTGATCCCCAAAAAATGACCTCTTAAACCCAGACAGGGCAAACGAGAGAGTCCCAAACCCAGAGGAATAGATCTCTAAGATAGGCCTCTCAGGCTAGGACTCACTGAAATCCTGAAATAGGCTGCTCCAAAACAATAGGAACAGTAACATCAGCGACCTCACCCCTGTCCAGTACCTGAGACTGTCTGAGAAGGACTCCACACCATGCTTGGAGATGCAGTAGCCACCACCACAGAGTGACACCCGGCCCAGGACACTGGAGACATTGACCACGCGGCCTTGAGTCTTTCTCACTAAAGGCATCAGGCTCAGAGTCACCTCGATCACCCCGACCAGGTTCACGTTGAGTATGTTCATGAAGTCTTGCTTGCTCAGCCACTCATTGGGAGCAGAAGGGAAGGCAATGCCAGCATTATTCACCAGGCCCCAGAGTCCTAGGAACAGCGGGAAGATGAGAGAGACACACTTTCACAATTATGGCTCACATTCACCTTGCAGCAATGGAAAAACATTCTCTTTTGGGAAGGAAGAAGGACAGAGCACAACACAGCCCAGTATCTGCAAGACTCAGGCTACACATAGTGCGGCTGCTAGATGGCAGACAGACTTGATGCCTTCTTCTGTCTTTCCTTCATCATGGCCCAGCTCACTGCCAAGGAGGTACCAGAAAATAACCTCATATTTCATCATTATGACAATAGGACTTGAAAAGATATTGTGCATCCATTAATTTGGAAACACGCAAATGATGGCTGACTTTATAACAAATTGATGTGGGCACATTTTATTTTTCCATGATTTTTAAAAGTATCTTATTCACATCACACACAGAGACATGTTGAAACACACCCCAGTTATCAAGCAAAAAAAAAAGACAGGACTGAGGGAAAAATAGAAATGGAGAGACAGAGAGAAAGCAAAAGGCAAGACTAACACGTGGGTATAATTTGGTTGAAAAACAAAACACATGTTCCCAATTTGGAGAAAATTTTAAAGGGGGCTGTGTTTGTCATCAGGAAACTGACCTTGAAAACAGAGGCATTAATATTGAGCAACCTTCCTGATTGTGCTCCCAAAACCCAACAGGAAGCCGTAGCATGACACAGGCTTCCTCCTTCCACGCCCAGCCCCAATTCACAACTCCACACTGTGCAACAGACAATAGTAGTCATCTCATCAAAGTCCACTCCCCATAAAGAAACTGTCCCTCATCCCGCATGGGCCGCACGTCACAGATCTTCAGGGGCCACAGTGGACAGCCCCACCCCCACCTCTAGGACTAAACACCATTGCCACCCAAGAGCACAGTGCAGCACCTGCAAGTAAATCTTGCATCCAGGGTAATGGGGGCAGCACAGCAATCTGCAACAGATGGCCAGGAGATCTGAGCCTCCACTGCTCAGAAACACACCCTGCCCTTGAAGGAAAATGTATATCCTGTTCCTAACACACTTTATCTCGAAGAACCCAATGATAAACATATTTATACACATTTCAGCACAGGAAGTCTTATCAAGATGACATTAGTGACAAAAAAAATCACCATAAATCCCATATCCAACCATTCTTTAGTTTAAATAAGCAGGACTGTGAAGAATCACAGAAAAGTCGTCATTAGATAGTAAAACTTGCAACTCTTCATTTTTTCCATGAAAAGGCTACAAATGAACTGCACAAAATATAATCCAATGTAGATCAAAAGGTGACTAATATCTCCCTCTGAATAATGAGATAATTGGCTCATTTTCCTATGATTTTAGACATTCCTGTGTTTTTGATGATAGTCAGACTTAACATTTACTCTTACATGAAATAAACCAATGTTCCTTTCTTTCTCAGTAACCACACTAACAGAATAGTGTAGTGAAAGAGAAAGTAAAAGTGACCCTAGTGTTCGGCTTTCCTAAACCAGTTCTGAATCTCACAGCTGCTCTGCAGGTGGAGGATGTTGGGGACCCCGTAAGAACAAGATACAGTGCTGAGACATGAGCTAGGCTCCAGCATGTCCCCAGCCATCACACAACCAAGAAATACAGTCCCCACCCATCCTCCTAAAAGACACCCCATCTCTACTTGTGCACTCAGCATCCAAAAAATCAGAACTTCTGCTTAGAAAGGCAGACAGAGGACAGAGAAAATCTGGAAAGAGAGGACAGATTTCCAGCAGGGCTTCTCTCCCCAAAAATAGTGGGCTCCAAGGACAGCAGGAGACAGAAGGGCTCAGTCTAGCACTGTGGGGAGAGGAAGGAACTTAGTCTTACTTCAAGGACCTCCTCCTCAAGATGCCTTTAAACTCTCACCAGGAAACACAGAGAATGTGTTCCCTTCACAAACACAGAAAAAACCAACAGATACAGACAGGAATCTGGGCGGTACCTTTGTCCCCCACACGCTCCTTCACCCACTCAGCGGCTGCAGTGATGCTCTCTGTCTGGGTGACATCCAGGATCACTGTCTCCAGCCGTTCTGATGTCCGCTTTCTCAGCTGCTCGGCCCCTTCTTCAGTCAGACACGCGGCCAGCACCCTCAAGCCTCTCATGTCCAACTGTCTGGCCAGCTGGTTCCCGAAGCCCGAGTCACAGCCCGTGATGAAGACATACTTGTCGTGGAGGTGGCTCACCACCTGGCTCTCCCGGTACCATCGTACTAGGTAGTACAGACCCACAAGGGCTGCCAGGTACAGCAACATGACTTCACAGAAGCCCAGAACAGGGACAGTGGTGCAAGACAAGACTATGGCCTGTGTTCAGCCAGGAAGAAAAGAGGAAATAAGATCCTGGTCTCCTATAGAGTGTGGCAGCCTCTAAGTGACCTAGCATGAAATCTGTGATTACTGCTTTATCACTGACTTTTAGAACAGTGTTCTTTGATCCTGCCCCACCTCTCTGCACTTTACACTGCTTTTGGTTCGTGGTTTCTTTACAGGTTTTTTTTTTCAGTAGTTTTTACATTTTTTTATTTGGGGAGTTTCTTTTCATTTGTTTCTTTCCATACATTTTTTTTTTTTTGAGGCAGGGTCTCATCATGTAGTTCAGGCTCATCTTGAACTCACTATGTAGCCCAGCCTCGCCTCAAACTCAAGGCAATCGCCCAGCATCACTCTCCCAAATGCTTGGGTTACAGACATGTAACACCTCACCTGGTGTATTACTTTGTTTTGGTGATACATGGATGCCATTGAACGTCCCATATGCTGCCTCCAAGAAAAACTAGACTAATCAGCAGCCTGTCACTAGTCCATCAATATCTCTCTGCTTTCTTGTGCCTCTGCAAGACCCATGTAACACCCCCGTAGCACATACACATCTCTGATCAGGTTCCAGGGTCAGACTGTCTACTCAGGTCAGCGTCTTGTAACATGGACCTCCTGCACACAGGTAGGTGTTGGAAAACTACACTTATAGGAAGAACAAATATATAATGAGTTACTTCTTTCAACCCACAATACCTCCTCTCAAAATTAAAACACTTTCATTCCCTGCAGTACTACCCAAGAAGACCAGAGGAGTAGACACCAGATGGTGTGCTCTTGGGAAAAAAGCTATCTGGAAATAGAGAGTTGGAACCCCAAAAGGGAGTCTGAGGTCTGAAGCAAAGAACGAAGTAACGAAGGGTTGAGGGAGGGAGAGGAATAAAACTTCCAGAGCTCATGGAAGGCTGGAATAGAGTGACTTCCATGAAGCAAGTATAATAGTAATAACATTCACCTACTGAAGAAGGCCTTTGCCCAGATAAACAGATGCAATGGATATGACTGCAGCCATCTTGGATCACAACCATCATGACTGCCCCAGAATAATCCTAGAGGGTTTTTACTGCATAATTTATAGGCACATTATAAGTAGACGAAACTATTAGAGCGGTATGAGGAGATCAGGGCTTCACAATGTCCCTAACTCTTTGGTGCCAGCTTGAGTTAAACCAAGCCCACTCATGCTAACATGAAGCAAATTTTGTTCTAACCCATACATATGTCTCCCTCTACGACTGAAATTGGAAGGATCCAACTAGTTTTATTGTCCCACAATACCATGCTTCGGCTTGTTGAAAAATCCCCCTATACCTACACTCTGTGCAACCCTAGACCTACCTGCTTCTGCTCAGCCATATGGCTCCTCAGGCCTGTTCTCACAGACTAGGTCTGAGTTGTTCCAAGTGCCTATAACATGACCTCCACCTTCTACTGTAGGGCTTTCCCAGCCTTCTCACAGGTCCAGAATCAAGTCCTCTCTGACACTGAGGAACTAAAAGCACAAAAAGACTTCCTCTGAACAATCACCACAGAGACAGGAGGGCTCCCTCATTTGTGGTCCAGCCCCCAGTACATGACCTGTCACCACTTCCAGGGTGCACACATTGGCAAGCTTCACTTGAGAAGACCAAAGACAAGACTAGAAGATGGACCTCACAGCCACAGCCCATGGATGGGCTCTCAGTGTGACACAGAGGATGCCATTTCACAAGAGCGAGGACAGATGGGATGCTAGGGGAGTTGGAAGGAACAAGAAACCAGAGTAGCACAACTCTGGCCTGCTCCTATCAACCAATCTCTGATAGGTAAATAATAGAATAAGAGACCAAATTTCTTTTTTTTTTATTTAAAGAAAGACTAAACAAAACAGAAAATGGGTAGAAATAATACATATGTTCAGAGAAAAAATAAACAGTAAGAAACCACTAGTTCATGTTTACATACTGTCCTTTCACAAATAGCTGTTCAAGATACAAAAGTGGAGGGCTGGAGATTCAGCTCAGCAGCATAAGCACCTGCCTTGTAAACAGGCAGTCATGAGTTCGATCCCCGGTACTGACAAAAAAAAAAAAAAGATACAAAAGTGGAACGTATAAAGTGGGAATTCAAACAGTGAGACTGCAAACAGTTCTGTTCAACTATCCAACAAAAACTTAGTAATATGGTTGTCAATCCTATACACTTAAATATACATGCAATTATCCATATCTTCATTAATGTTGGGATTAAACAAACTAAAGCAGGCTAAAGTAATTCTGAACAAAGCAATACTATCACTGATTACAGATTGTCTTCTTACAAATAGCTATTCAAGATACTAAAGTGGAGCATATAAAGTGGGGATTCAAACAATGAGACTGCAACCAGTTCTGTTCAACTATCCAATAAAAACTTAGAAATATGATTATCAATCCTATATACTTAAACATGCATGCAGTTATCCATATCTTCAATTATATTGAGATTGAACAAACCCAAGCACTCTAATATCACTCTGAACAAAGAATAATACTATTGCTGGGTGTCATATTATGACCCTCCAGGATCAGCACTGTGTACTTTAGTGTCTTTTTTTTTCTTCAAAGTATCTGTTAATTTCATCATGTGCCATAAGATCAGTTCTCATAAACTATGTATAGATTTGAGTTTCTGGGAGAACATAGCGGATAGATAAAAGCAGTTATGGAGGCTCTCTGAGGTAGCCAGCTTAGAATCCAGAAATGGTGTGGTGTGAGGAGTCCTAAGCAAGGGGGGATATACCGTGCCAACCCTGGAGCAAACTAAGCTGAGAGAAACCAACTGGAAATGCAGTCTCAGTGCTAGCTAACTGGAACAGATAAAATAGCGCTGAAGCTGCAACCAGCGCTGCTGGAAACCGCGATTTGAATTTCCTGCCGCTGCTGCTGGAACTGAACTGACACAGTAGGGACAGAGATGCAGAAGCTCTGAGAGCAGGAATCAGCAAACAGAGTTGAGAGCAGGACTGGCAGGGAGCGCTGCATCGACCTGTGGTGAGAGAAACAGGGAGCCTTCCATAGAGTAGGAGGCTCCAACGAGGACATTCTGGGATTAGGCAGACTAGCCGGAACAGGGCACTGCAGTGACTTTAGTCGCATATTTCCCTTTCAAGCAGGATTGGTGGGGTGGGCTTGGCCTGGGTAATGCCATGGACTAAAACCCAGTAGGCTAGTCCAAACCAGGTCCCAGTGCCTGGCGGTGCACCCTAGCAGTGAAGCCTTCAGTAGGTTGACTGACCTGGAGGGGTGGGCCCAGCAGAGGCTGCCCAGGTCTATGTCTCCCTAGTACACTGTAGTGGGCAGGAACACCTAGCTGGTGCGATTCAAACAAACTGTAACTGACAAAGAAAGAAACTGGGTCTCCTATATACACTTGTATGGAAGGAACAAAAATATGGAAAGAGGGAGCAACAAGAAAGGGTCCTCAGTCTCCAATCCTGAGAACACTGACCCAGGAAAGTTAAATGCAAAAGAGAATGGAGACAGAAAACATGCAATATTAGACATGGCACCAACAGACATAAAGCGATATCTCTAGAGCCTCATAGACGAGTTCAAAAGTGAAGTATTTAATGAAGTAAAGCAAGATATAACTAGAATAGTTAGAGAAATGCTAAGCACCACCCAAGAAAAAACAGATGGTAGAATGGAAGAACAGAAAAAAAGGGGAGAATTGTTTGATGGAGAAAATAGAGAAAACATAGAATATGTGAAGCAGGTTCAAAGAGATTACCAGGAAACTAAAAACTCTATTGAAAGCTGGCATAACAGCTTGGAAAAAACTAAGGTAGACTATCTGAACTGGAGGACAGATTTGTAAGGTGGAAGCATGAAATGAAAAACTTTTTAAAAATAACAAGGAAACAAATAGCAATAATGCAAAAGCTAGAAGATGATAAGAGGATTTATAACTTAAGAATTAAGAACGTAGAAGAAGAAATAGGGACACAAACAAATGAACTACAAAGGCTATTCACAGAAATAATCCAGGAGAATTTCCCTAATTTAGCAAAAGGTAAAGATACTCAGAAGTATGAGGCATACAGGACCCCAGCCACCTACAACCCAAACAGAACAACACCCAGGCATATAATAATCAAAATTCCAGAAATCCAATATAAGAACAGAATATTAAAAGCCATCAGAGACAAGAAACAGATCACTTACAAGGGAACGCCCATCAGAATTACAGCAGACTTCTTGGCACAAACCATCAAATCACGAAGAGTGTGGGGGGAAATAATTCAAGCTTTGAAAGATAATACCTGCCAGCCAAGATTGATATATCCCTAGAAATTGATGGGAAAACAAGGTGCTTCCAGGATAAAGAGGAACAAGGGGAATTTGCAACCACCAATTCAACTCTACAGAGATTACTGCAGGACATGCTAAAAAAGAAAAATACCAAGATTCCAGAAACAGTGGCAGAGAGGCCACAATGAATGGAGCAGAAACCAAAATGAAGACAACAAACTAACAACTAATGACAGAAAAAGAGCTCAATGGAAATGGGGCAGAGAAGGTTGAATGGTGGGAACAGCTATTTTGGAGAAAACAAGACATCATAATAGCTAGTGCTGATTTAATATCATCTTGTTTTGAAGTCCCATCAAGCTTTTGTTCTTCTGTCTCCATTGGTCTTAACATGTTGTATCTTATTGGATTTTATTATATGTGATAATATAAATAAAAACTTTTATAAACAAGGAGATTATACAGAAACTATTGTTCATTTTCTGTTAGTTGATTCTAAACACCCTGTAATACCGTCATTCTCTTGAATGGTTTGACATTGTCTTGATAGGTTTGATGCTACAGTATATGAAGTTATACTCAAAGCTTTCAAGGAAAGAGACACTATGGTAACTACTTTTACGTTGGGATATCTGGTGATGAAACACTATTTTGCTTAAATGATTATATTTTGACCTGTGCTGTTTTGCTATTATGTCCTCTTTTATCTCAATCTCCTTTTTTATTATTTACTTTTTTATTTTTATCTTTTTAAGGGAAAAATAAATAAAAATAGCAGGATATATTATAGTAACC